GGCTTCCAAGGGGAATTCCCTTCGCTATTATTCCGCTCGCGTTAGGTTTTAGAAGTTATGAGAAACATTACCTATGCAGAGAATATCATCTATACATTTATGGATGAAATTTATCAGCGCAGCCATCGTTGCAAACAGTAACAATGGGAGGTGAGGTGGAGAGGCAGAGTCTAAAAGAGAGTCATTTTGCAACGCTGTGTATAAAAAAAAAATCTGAAATACGCATATTAAAGGTACACATTAATGACAGAAGGTAATTCTCATATTCAGATATGATAAAGCATGTCAAACACACGTACTGACAATGAGTAAAATTTTCGTATTCTACCTCGAATTTGTGAGAAATTAATTTTTCCATCATTTTCTGCAGCATGTTCCACGCAGTAAACAATTAAAAATATCAAAATCTATATTTGAATTATTGTGGATCTGAAAGGACCAAACGTGTAAAATTAATTTGACCAATTTCAAATTTGACAAAAAATACTCAGCGACGCGCAATGCGGGAGGGAAGGATCGATTCTCTCGGAGTAAAATATCATCGATGCGTCTGGTCTCTTTGAAACGACCACAACTTTCAGTTATCCCTGAAATTAATCGTCAACATCGCGATGTTGTTGCACGGTGGTCGTTGACATCGAGAGCACGCACCTTCCCGCGGAAGGCGGCGTGAGCGTCTCTATATCCACATAAGTCCGAGAAGCTTGCCGAGGATTTCTTTATCATTTTACCACGGCGAAATATTCAATATAGCCGGCTGCATTATGTAGCGGACTCGGACAGGATACTCGAACGAGGAAGAGAAGAGGAGATGGAAGGTAAGGACGAGCGAGGGGCGCGAGGAAAAAGTTGAGACGAGTAAAGTACGTCGCACACCGGGCTCTGCATGCCAACTACCACCGACGCTTCTCTCCTCTCTCTCTCTCTTTCTCTCTCTTTCTCCCTTCTAGACCGCACCAGTGATTCCGGACTCTGCGAGCATCGACATTCGGTCGTGAGGAAATAAAACATGCGAATGCAACCGGAATTTCGCGAGGACGGTAGCGCAGCAACAATCTTTTATCGGCGAAGGATATTAATTATTCGCGCAAGCCCTTTCTTTACTCCCGCGACATTTTCCCTTTTTGATTTTATCGGTTTTTATCGGACTGTCTCGTAAATCATGCGTCCTTTGAGAGAATACGATCGCGGCGCAGCTTTTCCATTCCTCGAATGCACATTCGCTGCAATTCTCCCCGTATTTCCGTCGAACGATTCTTTTCACGGGTTCTCCCGTAGGCGAAATGGAAAGAGAACGATATATAGAAATCACGGAAATCATTCTGTAGAAATAGCAGACGCGGCGAAATGTTGTATTGTATTATGTCTCATTTTATCGAAAAAGTTTTATCCTTCTTTTTTATCATTTGCTTAGAATGGGATTTATTTATCTAGCTGCCGTGTGCGGAGGCGAAAATGGAAACGTTAGTTACATATCGAATTAATTCGTGAAAGTTTTACTGTATCGCCTACGAAATTCGCCGCGTTAATACTTAAAGAACACGGGAAAAAGGGATTCGGTCTCTCCCGTGAGAGCTCTGGACGGTGCCTCGCGCCGCCGGAACGTATCTCAGGAAATATACGGGTCTCGTGTAGATCGTCCGACGAGCGGCGAGAAGGGTTTTGGGGTGCGAGGAGAGGGTTGATAGCGCAAGTCCGTCGGAAAATTGTGCCTACGTGTGGGTCGTCCGCGAGACATTCGATCTCGCTATACGTGCGAAGTAAAGTAAAATAGTTGGAATAAAAATTTGAGAGAGAAAATAGTTTTGCGAGCGGATATACGTTTCGTATTTGCGATTACATTTTCCTAGACTAGAATTTTTAGGTAAACTCGATTATTCCTATTTCCCAATGAAGACTGAAACTTCAAGGTAAGTGATGTTTTGTTCATTTTAGATTATATTATATTCAAAAAATATGCGCATATATTGTGATATAGAAGATAGTAGGTTTAAATAAAGACAGCACAGATAATAAGTTGAAATAATTACATACCTTTACATAAAATTACAAAGATGTTGATTATGAATTAAAAATAAATCGCTTAACACATATTGAAAAATTCCATCTAATTTTTTGAACTTAAAATTTCATTAAATAACATTAATTTTGTGAACTTAAAATTTTCTCAAAATTAAAGAATTGATAAATTTATTTAAAGCCTTTTTAACATAAAATAATTTTTTAGTTTACTTTGCATTGTAAATGCTGTTTTAATACGGATTATTGCCTTGAATTAATATGGATAGTATTTTTAGCAAAAGAATTCTCACATCAAGCTATTCAATTAGATATATATTCAATTTTATAACTTAAATTAACTTATTATTATAAACAGCATAATTTGCGTTAAAAGGACTTACCTCAAAACATTTCTTAAGCGATGCAAGAGTGTATAATTGAGACTTATACTTGAGTTTTTCACCATATATTGTTACTCTAAATCGACCCAACATTTTGCGTTTCTGTAAAAAATATCTAAATTAAGATCTAGATATAGCGAAATTAAGTCAAAGAAAATAATTTATTAGAGATATTCACAATATTAGAAAAAAAAAAGAATTTATCGCATGCAAAATACAAATATATTATTCTATATATATATAATATCTATATATTATTTTATCAAAGTTATCTCATTCACAAGAAAATTAAAATATATATCATAATATTGTTTTAAATAGTAAGTATCTATTTTTAAATAAAATACAAAGAACATCCTAAGAATCATCATAATTTTCCAGGATGAAAAATCCCTCTCTTCTTATTTCAAGCAATATTAATTAATATGGCAAAATAATCAAATTAAATTTTAAATATAGTTTATAACATTGCTATAAAAATTTTAATTGAATTACACAATCTGTCATCATTTAATAAAATACTTGAATAAAATGCAGCGCTTATAAAGGCTTCACACATGATAGGACAAGATAATACACACGCAAGGACAAGATAAATGATTCGTTTATTATACTAATGCACGTATTCTGTGACGTAAAATGATGAAGAGAAGAAATATGATCCTTTGCTTACCCAAAGCGAGCTGTTTATATTGTAATGTTACACTTGCGACGATGTAGGGAAAACGAATTTGGATAATTTGATGGAAACTGATATATACATATGCTTTGACAGTGTACCAAACATCAATAAATGCCTCGTCAGAGATATTTGTATTTCTCATTTGTTAATCGTGTCTCTTCTGTCGAAGTCACCCTTAACTCGCACACCTATTCGCAGCATACATGGTGACTAACATTTATAATAATGTGATTGTGGAATTAAATGTGAAAAATAATATTCCATTAAATGACATTAGTTCCCAATCGCAATCTGAAAAGTATTTATTTAATTATTCTGTATACATTCAATTTCTAATATTATTTTATCAAAGTTATCTCATTCACAAAAAAAATTTAAAAATATATTATAATATTGTTTTAAATGGTAAGTATCTATTTTTAAATAAAATGCAAAAAAACATTCTAAGAATCATCATAATTTTCCAGGATGAAAAATCCCCCTCTCCTTATTTCAAGCAATTGATTATTTTAGGATACGATATTTTTTTATTTAAAGTAAGAGATCGTTTTAAATAGTTGATAAAACGTTAAGATACGTAAGACATATAAATTTGGCTTTTAAATATTATATAAAACAGCAAGTTATGGAAAAACATACAGGAACACTTCGATTATCTCAAATATCGTTTATCGAATGACTCGGTAGTATTTATCGCTGTACTTGAACGAAACTAGCTCGGCAAATAGCGGTATGAATTTATGGAAAATGTAACGTTACGAATTTACTCGGGTATTAGTGCAATAAACCACCGAGTCGTAAAAGTATCTGTTTCGCTTTTACGGTAGATTACGCGTTTTTTTCTCGCACAAGAAAATTTTTTTTTGTGCAGAAAACCAACTTGGCATTATCGGACTGGATTTTTTACATAATACGCGCGAGAGTCTGCCGCCGACGACGATGAAAGCGGCGGGGAAAATTATTCAGAAACGTGTAAGGTCACAATGGACGTCGCGACGAAGAGAAGTTATTGAAATATGTAAGAAGAACGCACGTGACTGTGTCATTCGAGTATATGCGGTTTAGTTTTCTTCAGGAATATTTTTTTTCAGATAAAATTCGCAAATGCTATTTTGCCAACTATATTTCATTAATTAATCTTTTTATTTTTTTTTATTATATTAAACGTAGATAAGATTTTTAATATAAATTCAAATTAAGATTTATTTAATTTAAGGTAACATCTATTTTTAATCATTTAATCAATAAAACTAATAAAAAACGCATGTAAACTTTTGAAATTACAAATAGAACTCTTTGGCTTCCAATTCGAAAAATATTTTTAAGAGATTTAAAATTCTTTCTCAATTTAATTAATTTAAAGCGCGCTTTTACCTTCGATGCATCCATTCTCATTTCAATATTATTACTCTTCCTGTAAAAATATGCATTGCACGTGTGTATTCTGCTGAAAAATAAAACATTTTGAACTTTTACTTATAGTATATTAATGTTTCTTTCAAGCTTCCATATGTTTTTCTGAATCAAATAACGATAAATCCAAAAATAGCCGATGCACAATTAAATGATAAGCCGATACGCGTTAACATTTAATTAAGCGTTGCTACCAATCAATACAAATTACTACCGAAATTAATACCGAATTAGTTTTAACCGCAAATCAATGTATAAATGAACACACAATTACATATAATTGACCGATCAAAAAATATTTTCAGAGTTGCAAATTTACGCGAGTGTCAAAGATAAGGAAGTAGATAAATGAAAAGAAGCGCGACTGCATCAAAGCGTGATTTGTTTCAAGGTAACGAGGCGAATGCAGGAGTCGTGCGATCACGTGCGATAGATAGATAAAGGTCGTTATCACTCCCGGCGTGGCGCGGTGCATCGCGACGACGGCAGCGGCGACCGGCGCGGCGACGCGGTGCGGCGCATCGGCGCTCTCCCGAGATTAACCTGCGTATATATATCGCACGTACGCACGCATCTTTCTCACGTGTTTTGCTTCTCCCCGCAAACGAGGACGCACACGAGCCGCGGCGTCCGCGGCGCATCACGTCGATGCGTTCCGACGTGAATCGTCGACGACGCGCGACGAAGACGACTACGACGACGTGGTTACCGTCATGTGCGAGGCGCTTGGATGACAGTGGCAGAACGGCAGCTCGGCGTGAGTCTTTGTTGGCGCACGGCGGACTCTTGGCACGAGGAATCGCGACGGCTGTGTGACTACGGTGGTGTGAGTGCAACGTGATTTCGGGAAATTTAATGTCCCGCGACGTCGGGAGAAGGGAGAGATCATCGAGAAACCGAGCAAAGCCGGGGACAAGGTGAAAGTGAGAGTCTCAGTTGCGGCGCCGCGAACGGTGCATAACCTAAAAATAAAGTCTCGCTCGCTTGTTCTTTCTCTCTCTGTTTCTCTCATTCCGTTGCGTCCGTCGCGATCGCGCGCGTATCGTCCGTCTGGTGCGGGTCGTACACTCGCGTTTAAGGTCCGTCCTTTTTGCGGCGCGTAACATTCTCCGCGCTTTCGCTCTCCCCCCGGAGAGCGCGTCCACATGTCGACATGATCGTGCCGGGGCGATCGCGGGTGTGCTCGTTGGACGGCGAATGATTTCGCAAAATAACCGGCAGCAGCACGAGCAGCGCGTGGAAAATATGGAGACGTCGGGCAGCGAGACGGGGAGCGAGCAGACCGCTCCGGACAGCACGGTGCCGCGGAAATCCTGGTTTGAGCTGCGCGCCGTCGTCAACGATCTCAGGAGGAAGCTGTCCGGCGTGTCGGCCGGATCTGTGCCCGGGTCCATAACTTTCCGATCCCTTCCGGACGGCCGGTGAGAAGAGAAGGAAGTGTCGCGCGCGCGTTCGCGCGGTGACCTTTCGCGTGATTCTGTTTTTGTCTGAGTTTGCCAAGTTTATGAGTAACACGCCTCCGCTCCCCTTGCAGGACTAGAATCTATTTCCTTAGCACGCCAAGCAATGGGTGGGAGACCACTCTACTCTATGTGGACATCGCACACGCGGACCACGCCAACGGTTACCGCCTGCATTGGCAGCCCGTTATAGAAGCAAACTTTCAGAGGTAAAACACCCGCTGTAAAAAGACACGTAGACTTAGACACTTGAATGCGCTATTAATACCCAAGGACAGGAACGATAAGGACCTCGTGCACTTATTTCAGTGTGTCAAGCACAAATAGACTGTCAAAGGAGGAGCAGCTATTATGGGAGAGGAAGAGACTCGCCACATGGGGCATAACCAGCTATGAGATCCATGCGGAGAGCGGAAAGCTGGTTTTTCCAGCTGCCAGCAGTCTTTATCAGTGTGTGGATACTGGATTTATGGTGATGTCAACATATCACTGCAATCAGTGGGAGAAAAACTGTCTAACTTTATGCATTCTTTTGTTAGCCTGGACCTCTTTTCCCATCGGAGATCAGGATGTCAAACACCGGTGCAAAGCTGTGTCCTCAGATCTGTCCCTGGAATAACGCTTTGATTGCTCACACATGTTCAGGAGATCTGTACTTGTCTCACAGTATCACAGGTTCCTCAGTTCGATTAACACACGCTAGAAAAGGAGGCAGGAGTCTCACGGACGATCCACTTACCGCCGGAACTCCCTCCTACGTTATGCAGGAGGAATTCACAAGGTTGATTCTTTAATCATCGCACATACACCCGCTGAAAGCGTGAAAATTGGGAAATCCGTTCTGCCTGTTTTAGGTACACCGGCTATTGGTGGCAGCCGAAGCCTATGTACGATGGTGTCTATAGGATAGTATACGAGGAAGTGGACGAGAGCGACGTTAAGATGTATTGCTTCCCCTCGTCGTCGAATTCCGACGAGGTGGACGAGTTTCGATTCCCCAGAGCCGGCATGCCAAACGCCAGAAGTAACTTGAAGATGGTGCAATTCCGGCTGACGGAGTCGTTGCAGATTGTCGACGTGGAGATCCTGGAGCTTCAGTATCCTCTTCACATCATGTTCCCCTGGATGGAATACATGGTGAGGGTCGGTTGGACGCCGGATGCTCAATAGTAAGTTTGACGGGAGACCGACCACTGCTACGTAAATATCGCAGTATCGTAACATATTTATAAATAACGTAATATTTGTGACGCGAGTTGATAATGTCGCTCTGTCGAAACGTAGCGTCTGGGTGCAACTGTTGGATAGGAAGCAACAGAAGCTCGAGCTGGTTTTATTATCGATAGACAACTTCTGCGAGCCGCCGCCGAACACGTACAACACGGAGAACCATTTCACGCCCACGTCGGCGAGCGTTCAGGTGATATACTCGGAGCAGAGTCCGATTTGGATCAACGTGAACGACCTGTTGTACTTCCTCAAGTCCGACGACGCGAACGAGGTGAAGTTTATCTGGGGCAGCGAAGAGTCCGAGTTTCGACACTTGTATCTCATAACGTCCAGTATAGCAGGTTTGATCGCTATATTTTTTTCAACGACATTTTGTCGCTCGAGGCTTCGTTTTATGTAATGCGTGTTTCGTCGCAGGCCTGAGCAATGGCGTGGAAGAGCCTTTGGATAGAATGGATAGTGTATATCTTCGGCCGCGTATCACTTCCAAAGTGGCCCTGACGCAGGGCGACTGGGAAGTGCTGGGGAAGAAGATATGGGTGGACGAAGTGAATTCCATCGTCTACTTCTGCGGACTGCGGGAAGGGCCGTTGGAGCAACATGTTTATGCCGTTTCGCTGCGACGGCCGTTGGAGATACGGCTCTTAACGCGGCCTGGCTACAGTTACAATAATATATATTTTAACAAGGAGTGCACGATGTTGGTCACCGTTTATAGTTCCATTAAAACCTTGCCTACTTGCCAAGTATGTTCAATACTCTTTATTTAGTTCAATTGTTTTACATTGTCGCTAATCATTCCGCTTTACAGGTATTCAAAATATCGCAAACCGACTGGACAGTAGAGAGTATATCGCTCACGCCTGTAGGTTATCTCTTAGAGCCATCAGCGCCCGAATCCGAGTTGTTTGCGCCAGAAATTTTCACGCATAAAATTAAGTCAGGGGACACTATCTACTCGATGATATTCAAGCCACATAATTTTCAACCCGGGGTCAAATACCCCACGATATTGAACGTTTATGGGGGGCCTGAAGTACAACTTGTATCAAATACGTTTAAAGTAAGTGAACTCCAAATACCGCAGAGCATAAATATTAATAAACACCTTTATTTAAATTGGAATTTTAATCCTCCGCAGGGCTTAAGACATTTACGAATGCACATGCTTGCTGCTCAAGGCTATTGCGTAGTTTTAATTGACTCTCGCGGGTCGCAGCATAGAGGTCTAATATTCGAGAGCCACCTACGACGTAGAATGGGCACGGTAGAGCTGAACGATCAGGTCGAAGTATTAAGGTGGTTGGCGGAGACCACAGGATACATAGATCTCAATCGAGTAGCTCTGCACGGCTGGTCTTACGGTGGATATTTGAGCTTAATGGGCTTGATACAATATCCCGACGTGTTCAAGGTTCGCATGACTTGATCGCATTTGCTTCCTTTTTTAATGTACTCATTTTTAAAAGTATCTTTATCGCAATTCGCAGCTGGCCATTGCTGGCGCTCCGGTTACCTCGTGGAACTTTTACGACACCGGATATACTGAGCGTTACATGGATCTGCCGCAGAACAATCCGCACGGTTATATGGCCGGATCGGTGCTGACATATGTAAACAAGTTTCCGGACGAAGAAAGTCGATTGTTGATTATTCACGGTCTCATAGATGAGAATGTACATTTCTACCACACCAGCCAACTGATTAACGCGCTCGTGAAGATCGGTAAACCGTATCAGCTGCAGGTTTACCCTAACGAGAGGCACAGTTTGAGGAGTCTAGACGCCAGCAAACATTATGAGACGACCTTGCTGTCCTTCTTGCAGCATCACTTATGAACTTATATTCTTTCTTTTTTTTTTTTTTTTACTATTGTTCAATAGTTCAGTGGTAGGAGGATCTTGGTCGGTCGACGCAAGATCTTGCGAATTTTTAGCAACTGCCATTAATTTATGTACACACAGGAAACTTACGGAAAAAACGTACTTTCAGACGATCAGGTATTAGTTTCTGTACAAACACGTGCCTCTGTCGGGCTATTAAGATAGTATTACGTTTTCAATGTAAAGTATTCGCAGCAGCACAACGTGGATTACCGATATACACGTAATTAACCGATCGCGTAATTAACATTAAGATAAATTTCTAGCGGAAAATTTGTAACGACTCACACATATGCGTAATTTATCCATATGTGCCGAATACGAATTTTCAACGGTAAAATTATCACGAAACGCGAAAAATAAGTAACATTGGAAATAGATTTTTCTAGCTATTGTTGAGGCTCATGACTACGATGATGTGTTATTTTTAACTACTTTTTAAGAGAATGGACAATACTCAATTTATTGACAATAGTTAATCAGAAAGACTATTCCAGATATGTTTTTGTTTCGCGGTCGTTTCGCAATATCTGTTGACATTTATCTCAACTGTGACTATGTATATATATCGTATGTGATAGAAAGGAATCGTACGCCTCTCATCTTTCTACGATGAAGATCCGCGTCTCAGCGAGAAAAGTATTTGCGTTCTTCAATGTTGTGAAATAATCGTATATCCGATGGATAATTTGTCAATAAATAAATTCATTATTTTATATTTTTCATAATTATTATTAAAAACAATGAATCGTTTCTAATAGCAATTACAAAACGTCACCTGAAGAGAAAGAAAAAAATTCAAAAAGTGTTGGAAAACATTTCAACTAGATTTGAGAATTAAATTAAAATTATTATACATACATATGTCATTTGCACTTTAGCCAGACGAACACTAACTCTTCGTTTTACGATTCAGGAATTTATACAAATAACGTATTCTTTTTTCTAGTTGGTTCCACTTTGTGGGTCTCGCAATTGGATATATACCTTTCTGCCACATTTTTTTCTTTCTTAACAGAACTTGAAATTCATTGCCGTGCACACCTCTCAACCATGAAGGTACTTTATAGAGAATTCTTGTCGGATGGAGTTTGTCGGAGCCCAATATGTCGATGTAGTCGTTCTGACCGAACAGTGCCTTCTTCTCGGACCAAACATCTGATGGACGATAGATCGGCATTGGTAGTTTTTTATTGCTATTACGCGGTAAGAGACCTGTCATGTCTATAGGATCTACGTATCCATATCGCCGTAATAAAGGGCCTCTTGCCAACTTGTTCGCGTGATAGCGAAATCGTACCGGCGTTACTTGCGGGGTCCATGTGTTTATCGCAGCGCGTACAGAGTTCACGATCCACGACATCCTGGAAAAAAAATAAGAGACATATTGAGTGAATGATATAACAGAACATATATATTATTCCGATGAATAATTTATCACGCAATTTTTCTGTGAAAAATAATTTAATATAATGACAGAAGTGTGTAGTTTTACTCCAGTTTATATAAACTATAACCTAGTTTTCCAAAATATTCTTTATTCTCTGTAAGTTTTTTAGCGATTTACAAAGTATTAATTAAATTTTATGAGAATTTACCTTTTCCCATATGATGTATATTAGAATTATAAATCCTTATATTTATGTGATACTTTGGAATAAACAACACATACACTCGAATCACCGTGATCTTTCGAAGATATTAGGTTATTCATCCACGCGATCAGCTGAGAAAAGCATTAAACGCGCATGTGCGGTACGTAGACCGAAAACGTCTTCTGTTGTACCGACGACAAATGCTTTAATTTTTAATTAAGATAACTTTTATTGGTTTTTTAAAACAAAAAATTCTTTTCTAATTAAAGTATTACTGCTAACTTAGAACGTAAAGACAGATAATACAATCAAAACAAAAAAAAATTAAAAATATAAATTTCTTCTTATTTCCTCCTAATTCAATATAACAATTTTGTATAAATGTAAGTTTGTAATAAAATTATTAGTTCACGCTTTTTGGATTATATAAAAGAATAAAATAAAATCATTAAAACTGAGTTTAAAAGCTTAGTCTAAAAGAACAAACGCTTGCATCTCGCACTTGCGTTGCCTAACCGTAGCTAGCACACGTAAATAGACAAAGAGAAAAAACGATCACAAGAATGAAAGAGAGAGACGGACGAAAGAAAATATATATACTTAAATATTATATTGCTTTATTTCGAAAATACAAGTTTATTTCTCTTTCTTTCGCGCGTGCGCGCAATTTTGTTGTTGTTTACGTTTAATAAGGACGATACACGCGTGGATTAGGAAATCAGTCTTCTGTGGATTAAGAAATCAGTCAGTATTTGGCCAGTATATATCTGCTGGTAAGTTGCACTATCTCCTGCTTTTATTCGTTTTTGTCATAATTATTTATTATAAAAATAATTTAATATTACGCAACATACATTCGTACAAATGCTTCAATAATTGTATTATTATATTGCGATACAGTTTTTCTTTTGTGTCGAATAACTGCTAAATTTCACTTTATTTACACAATTTACCGTGAGCATTTTTACGTAAATGTAAATTCATTACATTACATAAAAATATTCATATAATTCATATGTAATCTGGACGCTCGTACAATAAAGTTTTTTATCATTGCTTCTTCGCTATACACACTAGCTAAAGTAAAGATTGAAAATAAAATCGTTATTTGATTTAAACAGTGTTCTGTCGTGTGCAGCATTGATATATGTAAAATACAACTGGAATTATACAAGGTCTCTTTCGAAACTTGGTCATAAATTTTAAGATTTAACATTGTGGACAGCATGCCGAAAAATGTCAAAACACCGAAAAAACATGCAGTAAAGTTACCACCAAAAAAAACATTGATATCGAAAGAAACACAGACAGAGTCATCGAGAGCGTTACCGACAAGTAGTAGTGGTAGTAGTAGTAGTAATAATACATTGACAGCGACACGAACAAATCTGATATCCATTAGCAAGAAATAGTAAGCTGCCTATTCTTTTTCTTTTTATCTTTTAGTCAGCAGAAATACTTTGCCATCGTGCAACTAATGTTAAAATGTATAGAATGTTAATGTATAGAATCTGAACAAAAAGTTATGTGAAATAAATATATTTAGCAGGATAATAACTCGCATGAAAAGAAAGTTAGAGATAGAGAAAGAAAGAAATTTGCAAAACCATTATTTGCAAATAAATATACTTAGCAGGATAATAACTCGCATGAAAAGAAAGTTAGAGATAGAGAAAGATAGAAATTTGCAAAACCATTATTTGCAAAACCAGTTTTTGAAGCTCTGGCCGCTATTATGTATCTTGGAGACAGACTTTCTCTTGCAAATTGAAATAATCATGTGGTATGGATGGAAAGCCGAACGTAATTTGATTTGTATTTTTTTTTTCTCTTCGCCATTTTTATTTTGACGATATTGTTACTTGTATTTAATATTTTTTTAAACAGCTGTACAATGGAATACGGCTTTAATTATAACAATAGATAAGAACGTTTACAGTTTGAGCGATAAAAACAATCAAATAATAACTGACAATATGATTACTCTACGGACTCAAAAAGTAAAAGCTCTGTGTCAAAAAAATATCAAAAGCATGATACATACTAATGGATGCACAATCGTACTGACTGAGCAAGGAAAGGTATACTGAAAAATTATCGTATATATAATATGGTAAAGCGTGAATATAAATTGATGAGTTTTTGTAAAAATATTGATTTTATTTATTGAAGATAAATAGTTTCTTTTTATGAGATTTAAGTTGGAAAATTTAAAAGGAATTAACAGCACAACATTGTAAAACGATTACAGATTTTGTTCTTTGGTTGAGTAGAAATTAAACATGAAACTTTAAAGTTAAGATATGTATTGCGATACATTCTTTTCATACTCTGATAATTTGATAAATATCGAGACAAAGCAACTAATATGCATGTTTTGTGTATTTATTCTCATAATATTATTTGTATATGTAATTTTAATTATATGCATATTTAATATTTTGCTAGATGAATATATAAGAAAATCTTTACATTTTTTGTATATTCACCGATATGAAAAGTCAGCCATAGATTATTTTATAGAATTTGCAAAGATTTCTACAAGCTTTCCAAATTAAATAGCATTCCGCACGCTGAGTGATGCAAGCCGAGTCTTCCAAACTTTTCCATTTTCATACTCGATTTTTGTAATATCTTGTATAAGGAAGCGAAATTTCTGACAATCTACTCTCTTTTTTAGGTATATTCTTGGGGCTCCAATATAAATAGCATATGTGGACGTAGTGCAATGGTGAATGAACATGGAACAATTAATGCAACAATACCCTATCCTCTTGAAGTGTTTGAATTAGCAAATAAATGCGTAGTGGACATTAAATGTGGTGATTTACATGTTCTCGTGCTCACCAAAGATAGAGAGGTAAAGTTAAGATATAACAATGATAATTATGATTGTTGTGAATTATACAATTTTTTAAATTTAGATATACAGTTGGGGAACAAATTATGATGGGCAAGTTGGTGACACAGATGCTAACATAGTTCCAACACCGATGAAAGTCATAATTGAGGATGAGTTAGGTAAAAAGGACATTCAAAGCATTTCTTGCGGCTCCACTTTCAGCATGGCTATTACTTGCGACGGCAAACTTTACGGTTGGGGCAAAAATACGTGTGGTCAGCTTGGACTTGGAGATAATAGCGCAATGATACATCGGAAACCGATGAAAATCATGATAAACGTCGCAATAGGTAATTTATTTGTTTGAAAGCTTGTTGCAAACAAGTGACGAAGTAAACATCTCAATAGCTAGACATGTTCTAATATTCGACCACTTATTAACAAAACAATTACTATTCAATACTTATAAAATTTAAAATTAATTAAATTTAATTAATTTTAATTTAATATTTAAAAGAGAACTTTAGTAATTTAAGTTTTGCATACAAAATGAATCAGAAATTGTTTTATAATATTTATTACATAATAATTAGTACAATGAGCTATAAGATAATGAGATCATGTCATGTGAAGCAATTTTAGATTGATCCTTAATTATTTTATTAAAAGTAATAATATTTAATATAGCGCTGAAAAAATGCATTTTTAATTAATCTTAAAAACAAATTTCTAAATTTCTCATTTCAAAAGTATCTTGCGCATGTATTCTACATTATGCCTGGATACTGATATCTTTTGTTAATATGTAATTAACTATTAATTAATAATTCTAATTTTGATTTTACTTCTATTACGTAAATTTTGATCTTTGTCGTGTGTACAAAATAGATGAGAAAAATATTACTTTGATAGGAAAAATTATTTAAAAAATTATTCACTATTGATTTGAATGTCCGACTATTGTGACATTTATTTTATCTAAAACTTGCCGACGCAAATTATTTCATTCAAGCAATCGTGGTGTTTCAGCGAAAGTAGAATGCGGATTTAATCATACATTGGCACTTACCCATGATGGTTTGCTCTATGTCTGGGGTGATAATAAGGGTGGACAATTGGGCACTGGGAACTATGATAACTCCTGTTATCCCATTCTGGTAATCACTTTATTGTTGTATTTGTTATAATAATAGAGAAAGAGATGTGTACAATAACTAAAGCGTTTGATGATCGACAGATGGATGCAAAGAAAATCGGGAAGGTGACGGATATCGCCGCTCGATTCGATTCCAGCCAAAGTGTGGCAATTAATACAAATAAACGTATCTACAAATGGGGAACCTATGATGATTGTCATGGTCATGTTACTAAAGTTAACCCAACTGTTGTCAACCTTAACAACATAGATGATAATTATTATCATGGTCGTGTTACTAATGTTGATCCAACTGTTGTTAACCTTAACAACATAGATAATGCATTTATAAATTTCCAAAACGTTATAAAAATGCAAAATCCTTGCACAAGTTTAGCTCAAATCCAAGAATTCTCATACGTAATGTCCGAAAAATATTTAAAAACTGCATTCAACAATTCCGTATGTCGCTTTCTTTATTTCGTATATATTTTCGTTTATATTTTTATATTATAAAGTATAAAGTAAAATAGATGGATAATGAACAAGATTTGCCCCGTTTTTCTGGGGCAGTTTTGAATAGAATGATATTCAAAGTGCATCTTTTGTGATACATATATTAAAATAATTGAATACATTTGGATTGGTACACTTGGTTAGAAATAACTTTCAGTAAAATTTTTTTGTAGTCAATTATTACAAAAAAGAGATAGAGAGTGTGCAAACACTTTTCTTTACTACTGCAGAAGCGTTGCAGGCAACGAGAGATAAGAAACAAAAAATATAGCAGAAACCTAATAATAATTTCATAGCTAAAATTATATTACATAATTAGTAAACATATACATAATTATTCTTATTAGCATAAATGAATATATGCATATACAGTAGTCGTTGGATATAAAATTATTTTTCTTTGCTTGAAATATAAAAATTTATTTCCAGCTCTCGTACTCGGCGAGAAAGAAGTCAGTCTTATCAAACACTTTATCTTAGCTTATTCGGTTTCTACTAAAAACTTGCTGCTGATAAAATTCACGTGATATATCAATTATTAGAGGATAAAAAAATCGCGTCCTTTTTCATCGATCAATATGTTTTTATAACATATTGATTGATTTCGAACAGTGATTTTATAATCTGAAACTACTGTATGTACATAATTAATAATATTTGTATGTGTTAGATTTGTTTTTTCTCGATAAAATCTGTTTTAAGTAAAATTATTAATTTAAATTTAAAAAATTTTTTAAATTTGTAATAAATGTTGTTTCTAGTCTGCATATACATACATATAGTCTGCATATATATATTATATTTCGTTTTTTTGCCTGTAATGATTCTCATCTTTTATTTGTATAGACGTCCGCCGATACTGAGTTGATTGTGGAGCAACAATCTTTGTACATTCACAGGAATATCATAATGATTCGTTGTCCGAAAATGTATACAAAATTTTTCAGGTTTTACACAGATAGGTACGCATTCAGGACAAAAATATTGTTCTTATTAAGAATAATTTAAACTTATTTCATGTTGTATATCACCGTATTCTCAACAGAGTTATCACCCGAGAGGATTTCTCTGCTATTTCATATAAAATCTTCTTACAATATTTGTACACTGGTGTAATTGACATACCTTCCGAGAAATTATTAGGTAAGCTCGAGTAAAGTACATTATCTGATATTGTAATTACTTACAAATTGTGACTAAAGCAACATTTTATTACAGAGCCGTACTATTTAGCTACTAATTTCGACAGTGCAATCTTCAAGAAAAATTATCTGAAGATAATAAAGAAAAAGATCAGCATTTCAAATGTCATCTATTTTTATGGCGAGGCGATATTACAGAAAATAATGGTAATTTTTTTAAATATCACTTTCGTACTCTATAATAAATTTAACATTTTCTTTATCAATTTGATAATAAAATGAAAAATTTTCGATTTTGAAAAGTAAAAGAAACATTGTATTTTATTATAATGCATAACATATTTTCAGTTTTAGTAACATTTTATATTTTACAATTTAATAAAGTATTAAACACATATTTCTAGATGAAACATTTTATATTTTGTAGTTTGATTAAATATTCATGCCAAGTATAGTTTGATATTTAAACTGTTGGAATAAAATGTAATATGGAGTATATGCTTGATTGTTGAGTTGTAAAAATTAACGCTATTGTTAATTGCAATATACTTATACATCTTTATTTATATGCTCGTCAAATTTCACGTAATTTTGCAGAAGCTGGAAGAGTTCTGCTTCAAGTATGCCATAAATAATCTGACGGCTGTGATAAAATCAGAAAGTTTCGCTGAATTACCAGATAAGTTGCGATTTGATTTTATAATTAAAGCAGCCAATGCTCAGGCTTTTAAAAATTAATTTGTCTGTCTAGAAATTTATTAGAACTGTTTAGATATTTATAACTTATACTAATAGCAGTCTGATAAATTGATAAAAGATTAGTATAAATAAGTTTGTTTTAAATATTTAAATTTGCATTTTAATCGTCTTAATTCATATTTTATATTCATAATATATATCAAGTAAGTAAATTTGATATAGAACTGTAATATTAATTTATAATGTGCAAATAATGTTGCATTTTTTACGGATATTTTTTACAAATTCTCTTCAACCAGAATTAATCTTGTATGACTCTTGTGATTATTTTACAATTCGCGCAAAAATAGAGAGACAACAAAGCTATCGTACGGAAAAGATAAGTTTTATTGGTTACATAATTTGGTTATATAATTTGGTTTATATTAAGAGATGATTATATTATAAATAAGTCTAATATTTAACAAAATTCGATCTTTTGGTAATTTGAAATATAAGAATTAAATTAATTTCGAAATAAAATTAAATATATATATTGTGCATACAAAATTATATGTATTCATATATTATTTTAAAATATTTTATGACTTCCGTTTAAAAGATAATAAAAATAATAGCTCACTAAAACTAACATTGCAACAACGTAAAATATTAAAAATATTATTTTACATTGATGAGAACAAAATTGAATGTGTTCACTTCGAAAATTACTATAGAAAATGTATTAACATAGCATCAATTCAATAATTTGTAATATTCAAAACTGAATAATAAATCATCTCTTTCGTACATCACGAAGTGCTTCAATTATTTTAATACAAGTAAGTGCTGTAATGAACAAGTGTTAATATTATAAAATAAAAAAGCATCTGGAAATCGATATAATTACGATGCTCCAACTAAATGGGTTTCAACAGACATTCGCATCAGTTTGTAATAGTAATGGTCATGGTGTCTACTATTCAAGAGGTTTTACGTCCTTTTTTCGTTATGTGCTTCATAAATGGTATAGGTGTCTATCCCACAAAACAACCAAAGCCAGAAATGCAAAGGATTATATGCTTGAGTATTCTGCATTCTTTAACTATCTGGTTTGCTTATGGTTATCTTCTTTATTATGCGATAACCATATTTACATTAAAAGAATTATTTCGGTCCACTATTACTACAGTTGTGTTAATGACTAACATTGTTACCACAATTACATCCGTAATTATGAGCTTTTTTTATCAAAAGGTATAACTTAATTTTTATTATTAGATATACAATGTGTTTAAAAAATATAGATGTAGTATATATATGCGTGCGCGCGCGCGTGTGTGTGTGTGTGTGTGTGTGTGTGTAAAGTACTCCAATTTTACATAACAATCTATAATATATGACAGTTCAATATAACAGCAATAAAATATATTTAAATATTTTATTTTGTACATATTTTATATCCTAAAGATATAATTACATTGTAAATGCCCTTTGTATAATTAATTGATATTTTTCTAGAGATTGGAGATGTGCATGATGAGGCTTACTGCTGTGGACGATACTTTAGAAAAATTAGGCACTCCAAAAATGTATCAGAAGATGCATATATTGTCGAAACGGGTGGTAATCGGATGGATTATATACTATCTTACTACAAACTTTTTTGATACGAAATATTGGATTGATAAGAAAGAAACTTCATCTTGGGGATTAATTTTAGCTCATATATTAAATCATTGTTTTCATATCAATATATTCGTTGAATTATTATTCATCATCTTCTTATGGTTTGTATAATATTTGTAATATATAATTTTAAGTTTATAATTAGTATTTATAATTTATTAACAAATTATGCAAGTAAAGTATAGAAATGTAAAATTAACATATGCTTTTTTTGTATAAATCTATTTCCACATTTAATCTGCGTTTGTTAATTTTTTCATTAATTGGCAAAGTGTAGTCATGATTAAAATAGTAATTCTTGCTTTAATAAAAACTATAAAAAAATATTTTTGACGGTTAATAAAATATTAATTAATGATAATGTCATTATTTTTTATTATTTATAACATATTTAAGCAAATAATTAGATTTATATTTATTAAAATATTAAAAACTTATTCTGAAGATAATAATTAGTCGTTCTGTCATTCTACAATTTCTAAGACATTCATTACAACGCAGGCATATCGGCATCAGATTTGACAAAGTAAATAAACATATGCGATGTCTATTAGTAAAAAATGATCATCAGTTGAGATGTACGTGGAAGAAACCTGATGTAACATTTCTTCATCAATATATATGGAATTACAAACAAACGTTATGGACATCAATGTAAATCGGCACAAGTATTGTTTAGATACATCGGGAGTATATGCTAATCATATAATGTATTATTTTAATATTGGTGAAAATAATTATAAATAAATTGTAAAAATTATGGATTATAGATTTCAATATCTATATTTTGTAATTAAATTTTTTTTGGCAGGCATCTTCATTTAGAATTATGTCACATTACTCGTGAATTAAATTTGATATTTGGAGTGCAAATGACTTTCGAAATGGTGTCATTACTGTTACATGTAACAGCATTGTGCTATTATTTATATATAATGTGGAAATATCAAATTAAAATGCCAATATACAATAGGTCTGTTACAATAATATGGACTCTTATATATTCTATAAGATTTTGCGTTATCAATTTGATCTGTGAAAATGTCTGTGTTAAGGTAAATTTATGCAATATTAATGATAAAAATATATATTGAGTTATTTAGTAAGTTTTTGTATCAATTCTTATGACAAAATTGAAAACAGTTTTTATTTTTTATCTATTTTTATTTAGAAGCGTATGCACTATTATTTTCGATTATTTTTAGACATAACAGTTATCGATTTCAATAGCTTTTACATATACTAACATGTCCTTCTGCTATTTATTGAAAATTATTACGAACTTCTTGAACAACCTAACATTTAGAAATAACAAATTTATAATAATTTTAGGCTAACAAAATTAGCATAGTAATTCATCAATTGACAAACATTTTTCGATATGCTGACATTTCAAGAGAGGTATTAAACTTTTTTAATAACCAATAATATGTAAAATGTATTATTTGAGATTAACCAATGGTTATTTATTTACAGATTTGTCAATTTGCTTTACAAACAATGCAAAATCCATTGAAATGCAACGGGATAGGTCTTTTCTATTTCGGCAACGTGTTTATTCAAAAGGTTTTTCTTTACATTTATTTGTTTTACTTTTACGTTATATCATCACGTATATATCATATAAAATTTAAGATTATATGTTATTAACATTCTTATTATTTATTTTTTAATTTTGTGCTATGTAAGATTTTTACTTTTTTTACAATATATTTACATCAAAAAGTATTTTATAATGTGTTTGAATAAAATAATGTTTTTTTAAATATAATTAATAAAAACTAATAAATTTTTCTTCCAGTTTTGTACGGCGGTGTTAACATTCGTGATATTTACGACACAAATGAAAATGTATGTCAGATCCTAAGTATCTGATAGTTTGCTTCTAAAAAGTAATAGAAAGGAAGTATGTCACTTATTGTGAGTATAACACCATACAAAATAATTCTTTGCAGTTATGTCAATTAAATATAATTCAAATTAACATATTGACCTTGTGTTAATAAAATAGAGAGAAATTGCAATGACTTCATTATATTATTACAGGAATAATCGTTTATACACATTTAAGTCTTGTAAAATTGCATAAGCATATATAGATAATTATTACGTAAAGTAAAAGTCATCTGATCTAGATTATCTATTTGTGTATTCTCTTGTTCGATAAACGACGGTCGTGTGATACTTTTGACAGTAAGTCACAGTATAATTCTCGCAAAGTTTCTTGGCGGATCAACGAAAAGAAAGTGGACACGTTTCTGAGATTTTTATGAAAAGTATTGAAAAGTATTCGTGTTTCTCTTAGATAAAATGTAATACAAATTTACTAAAAATAAAATGTAATACTTAATTCAATCGAGAATCATGACAAAAACTATTCAGTCAGCGCTAGCACCATTATTAATAATTTGCTCGTTCTGTGGCTTGAGCTATTTAGAATATCCCATTGAACGACCCAGACCATATTTTACTTGCCTGTACTTTTTAATCAAATGGAGTCTCTACTCATATCTTTTCTACTACTTAATTTATACTAATCCTACGGCGTTTATATATTTCAATTTGTTGTGTAAATTAGAAATATTCATCACACTTGTATCGACGCTTGTCAACTTATTACGCTACAAGGTAAAATTTCTGAAGTATATACTTCGAGTTTGCAGTTTATTTTAATTCTTTTGTAATTTTTTAAATAATTATTTTGCCATAACCATTGCCATAAACACGAATTTTCAAGAGACCTTTGATCTACCGATATCGAATATTTTTCATTTTTAAGAGATAATAATGTTATTCAGGACTTTAATTGATCTACGTTATCTTTAAGGAATTAAAAACGTGTTTACATAAACTTTCTATTGTAAATAATACGTTAGAAGTGTTTGGAAAACCAAAGGATTACCGGTGGTTACATAAATTAACAGTTCGAGTAATAATCACGTGGATTGCACTGGTTTGTTTCTTGGATACATTGGATATTTTTTTATTGAATTACGGCTATTTTAGCATTACTCACATATTTATTCCGTTTGTGGGACATTATATAGACCATATCAATGTCCTCGGTTGTGTAATGTGGGGAATTATTCTGAGGTCAGTATATCTGTACTTTGTAAAGTTATTGCAAAATAAACAAATATGTGTCTAATAAGAATAATTAAGAAATATCGATAAGACATAAAATTTTTTTCTTTTTTCTTAAATAATTTGAGATTTTTTATGAGATTTGCAATAAAATTTTATTAATATTGTTATTTTGACAAATGTTATAAAATTTAGCAAAATAATAAAATTGTACTTATAAACTAAAATAAAATTAAAATAATGAGAAGAAGACAATATTAATAATGATACCTTGAATAATAAACTTATCGTCAAATACAAAATTATATATATCTTACTAAAATGCTTTATTAAATTTAGATATATAGGCTCCAGATTCCAGCGAATTAATGAGCACCTTGAAAGTCTGGTAAAAGACGACATAAAGTATACAAGGCGAAAAAGTTTAATTTTAAATGAAGAATATGAGAAATCTCAACAAAGAATAAAAGCTAACAAAATCAAGGAACGCAGGAAATTTATGTGGATTATAATGTAATTTTTTTAAATTACTACATATGTTTAATTAATAATTAAAATCACTATATATTAATCACGTTTTTAAAAAACGTAATTATATACATTATTTTACAGATTATAATATATTTACAATAACTTTAAAAATTTAATTATAAAATGAGTAAATCTAAAATTTTTGTTATAGCTTGAATTAAATATATTTTAATCGATCAAAATATTTTTGTCTTTTATGTACGTATTTGTTAAATTTGTTAATAACAATTATAATTTGATTACAGGCACGTTCATCTGCAGCTATGTCTCATATCACGTGACTTGAACAAAATATTCAGTGTGCAGATGACGTTACAAATGGCGACTATCTTTATATTAGTCGTAATAGAATGTTGCATGATTTATACAGCACTATTAAGAAGTACAACTACACCCATATATACTTTAGATAACTCGGTCATTTGTTTTTGGCTTATCGAACAGAACATAATATTTCTTATATTAAATTATGTCTGTCAGATTGTCTGTGAAAAAGGTAACAAAAATTAAAATTGCAAATAAATAATAATAAAAAATTAATAAAAACTTCAATAATATTTCAAATTTCTACAATAAAAAATGTAGGTAGCGAATAAAGCTTATGTTAAATAATTTTTTCCTAGTTATTTGATCTTATGTCTTTTGTATAAAACTTTTGACATAAACGGTGAATTTTAACTTTATATAAACATAATTTCAGGCGAATAAAGCAATTGTAATTCTTTACCAATTATCCAATAGCAGTCCCGACAAAGTCTTACGTGAGCAAGTAAATTATAAAAATGATTATAAATATTTTTCAACCATCTTATGTGCATAATGCTTTTAAATTTTACATTTATCCGTTTTTTTAACTCAGGTTCTACAATTTATATTACAAATAAAACAAAGAAAAGTCCAGTTTTCTGGTATGGGACTTTTTTACTTTGGTAACAATTTTATTCGTCAGGTATGTTCTACAGTTTGTTAAAATATAAATTACTATAAAAGAGAATCATTAAGTATTATTTTTGATCTCTTTCAGATTTCTGTAAATTTTGAAATGACGATATTGTTTGTTACTAAATTATGTTTTTTATTTGTTGTATTGAAATTGTTTTTTATACTATGCATACACACTCACGCGCGCGCGTGCAGACAAAAGCAGCCTACATTTTCATTTTGACTAAAATAACAATTTTTTTTTTCAGTTCTATACAGCAGTCGCTACTGTCGTCGTGATTATACTACAGATGAATATAACTTATACGTATTCAATTGTATTGGATAAACTGTCTAGATTTCGAACGATATAGACAGATTCTGGTTGAATCTACCAGGTTTCCTATTAATGCAATCAGATTTTAATAGATTGTGCAGCCAAACCAGATTCTGGTTGCATTAATAGAATTAATATAAATTAATATGCATTAATATAGATTTATTAGGTTGCATTAAATCTAGTAGATTCAACCAGAATCTGTTTGTATTTCAAAATCAACTAGAATTTTTTTTTTAATGTGATATATGAAATAACGTATGATGATATAAATTCATCTACTAACAGTAAAAATAAATAATTGCAATATTGAAATATGTAGAAGTTCTAATATATATCTGCTACATCTAATGTAAAACGATACACGTAATTTGTTTTGTATAATAACAAATAAAATGTGAATTTGTTTATTTTTTATCTTTTAAAATTAACTTAAAATTGCTTATTCCTAATACATACATAATTTCACAAAAAATAGGGAATACATTTCCGACACACAAAATTGAACTATTTTTAAATTGCTGAAATTCCGCAAAAATCGTTGCAAATAAAAAATTAAAAAAGCATTTTAATGCTTGAAATTGGAAATTGTTACGAACTTTTTGAACAATCTAATATTTACAAATAACAAGTTCAAAATTTTAAGCTTACAAAATTAGCATAGTAATTCATCAATCAACAAACATTTTTCGATATGCTGACATTTGAAGAGAGGTATTAAATTTTTATAATAGCCAATAATATTTAAAATGTATTATTTAAGATTAACTAATGGTTATTTATTTACAGATTTGTCAATTTGCTTTACAAACAATGCAAAATCCATTGAAATGCAACGAGATGGGTCTCTTCTGTTTCGGCAATGTATTTATTCAAAAGGTTTTTTTTGTTTTATTTTTATTTATTTTATCTTTATTTGTTTTATTTTTACGTTATATATTATATATTTAAGATCATATGTTATTAAAATTCTTATTATTTATTTTTTAATTTTGTGCTATGTAAGATTTTTTAGTTTTTTTTTACAATATATTTACATTAAAAAGTATTTTGTAATATGTTTGAATGAAATAATGCTTTTTTATGTATAATTAATAAAAATTAATAAATTTTTTTTTCCAGTTTTGTACGACGGTGTTAACATTCGTGATAGTTATAGCACAAATGAAAAGTATGTCAGATCCTAAGTGTCTGTGCAGTTATGTCAACTAAATATAATTCAAATTGATATATTGACATTGTGCTAATAAAATAGAGGGAAATTGCAATGACTCCATTATATTATTGCATGAATAATCGTTTATACACATTTTAGCTTTGTAAAATTGCATAAGCATATATAGATAATTATTCCATAAGGTAAAAGTTATTTGATCTAGATTATCTATTTATGTATTCTTTTGTTCGATAAACGACGGTCGTGTGATACTTTTGACAGTAAGTTACAGTATAATTCTTGCAAAGTTTCTTGGCGGATCAACGAAAAGAAAGTGGACACGTTTTTGAGATTTTTATGAAAAGTATTGAAAAGTATTCGTGTTTCTCTTAGATAAAATGTAATACAAATTTACTAAAAATAAAATGTAATACTTAATTCAATCGAGAATCATGACAAAAACTATTCAGTCAGCGTTAGCACCATTATTAATAATTTGTTCGTTCTGCGGCTTGAGCTATTTAGAATATCTTATTGAACGATCCAGACCATATTTTACTTGCCTGTATTTTTTAATCAAATGGAGTCTCTACTCATATCTTTTCTACCACTTAATTTATACTAATCCTACGGCGTTCATATATTTCAATTTGTTGTGTAAATTAGAAATATTCATCATACTTGTATCGACGCTTGTCAACTTATTACGCCACAAGGTAAAATTTCTGAAATATATACTTTGAGTTTGCAGTTTATCTTAATTTTTGTGTGTTTTTCTTTTTAATTATCTTGCCATAACGATTGCCATAAACACGAATTTTCAAAAGACTTTTTCATTTATCGATATCAAATATTTTTATATCTTAAATTAGTGAATTATATATTTAAGAAATAATAATGTTATTCGTCACGCCTTTAATCGATCAATGTCATGTTTAAGGAATTAAAAACGTGTTTACATAGACTTTCTATTGTAAATAATACGTTAGAAGTGTTTGGAAAACCAAAGGATTACCAGTGGTTACATAAATTAACAGTTCGAGTAATAATCATATGGATTGCACTGGTTTGTTTCTTGGATACATTGGACATTTTTTTATTGAATTACGGCTATTTTAGCATTACTCACATATTTATTCCGTTCGTGGGAAATTATATAGACCATATCAATGTCCTCGGTTGTGCAATGTGGGGAATTATTCTAAGGTCAGTATATCTGTACTTTGTAAAGTTATTGCAAAATAGACAAATATGTATCTAATAAGAATATTTAAGAAATATCTATAAGACATAGAGCTTTTTCTTGTTTCTTAAATATTTTGAGATTTTTTATAATTTGCAATAAAATTTGATTAATATTGTTATTTTGACAAATGTTATAAAATTTAGCAAAATAATAAAATTGTACTTATGAACTAAAATAAAATTAAAATAATGAAAAGAAGACAATATTAATGATGATGCTTGAATAATAAATTATCGTCAAATACAAAATTATATATATATCTTACAGCTAAAATGCTTTATTAAATTTAGATATATAGGCTCCAGATTCCAGCTAATTAATGAGCACCTTGAAAGTCTGGTAAAAAACGACATAAAGTATACAAAACGAGAAAATTTAATTTTAAATGAAGAATATCAGAAATCTCAACGAAGAACAAAAGCTAACAAAATCAAGAAACGTAGGAAATCTATGTGGATTATAATGTAATTTTTTTAAATTACTACATATGTTTAATTAATAATTAAAATTACTATATATTGATCACGTTTTTAAAGAACGTAATTTTATACATTATTTTACAGATTATAATATATTTACAATAACTTTAAAAATTTAATTACAAAACGAGTAAATTTAAAATTTTTGTTATAGCTTGAATTGAATATATTTTAATCGATCAAAATATTTTTGCTTTTTATGTACGTATTTGTTTAATTTGTTGATGACAATTATAATTTGATTGCAGGCACGTTCATCTGCAGCTATGTCTCATATCACGCGACTTGAACAAAATATTCAGTGTACAGATGACGTTACAAATAACGACTATGTTTATATTTGTCGTACTAGAATGTTGCATGATTTATACAGCATTATTAAGAAGTGGAACTACACTCATACATACTTTAGATAACTTGATTGTTTGTTTTTGGTTTATCCAACGTAACATAATATTTCTCATATTAAATTATGTCTGTCAGATTGTCTGTGAAAAGGTAACAAAGTTGAATAGCAAATAAATAATAATATAAGATTAATAGAAACTTTAATAACATTTCAAATTTCTCAATAAAGAATGTAGATAGCGGATAAAGCTAATGTTGAATAATTTTTTCCAAGTTATTTGATCTTATGTCTTTTGTTTGAAACTTTTGACATAAACGGCGAGTTTTAATTTTATATAAACATAATTTCAGGCGAATAAAGCAATTGTAATTCTTTACCAATTATCCAATAGCAGTCCCGACAAAGTCTTACGTGAGCAAGTAAATTATGAAAATGATTATAAATATTTTTCAACTATCTTATGTGCATAATGCGTTTAAATTTTGCATTTATCCGTTTTTTTTAATTTAGGTTCTACAATTTATATTACAAATAAAACAGAGAAAAGTCCAGTTTTCTGGTATGGGGCTTTTTTACCTTGGTAACAATTTTATTCGTCAGGTATGTGCTACATTTTGTTAAAATATAAAGTATTATACAGATGAATCATAAAGTATTACTTTCGATCTCTTTCAGATTTCTGTAAATTTTGAAATGACGACATTGTTTGTTACTAAATTGTGTTTTTTTATTGTTTTTTTATTTTTTGTATTGAAATTCTTTTCATACTATGTACATACATATACACACGCGGGCGCGCGGGCGCACACAAGCAACCTACATTTTCATTTTGACTAAAATAACAATTTTTTTTCAGTTCTACACAGCAGTCGCAACTGTCGTGGTGATTATACTACAGATGAATCTTATGTATGATGAACTTTTATGTATATAACTGTATTGGAAAAACTGTTTAGTCGATTTTGAACAATACAGACAGATTCTGTTGAATCTATCAAAATCTGGTTGCATTAATAGGATTAATATAGATTAATATGCATTAATATAGATTTAATAAGTTGCATTAAATCTAGTAGATTCAACCAGAATCTGTTTGTATTTTAAAATCAACCAGAATTTTTTTAAATTTGATATATAATATAACGAATAATGATACATACATTCATCTACTAACAGTAAAAAATAAATAATTGTAATATTAAAATATGTGAAAGGTCAAATATATATCTGCTATATCAAATGTAAAAAGATACATATAATTTGTTTTGTATAATAACAAATAAAACGTAAATTTGTTTATTTTTTAACTTTTAAAATTAACTTGAAATTGCCTATTTCTAATACATAACTTCACAAAAAATAGGGAATACATTTCCGACACACAATATTGAATCATTTTTTAATTGCTGAAATTCGGCAAAAATCATTGCAGTTAAAAAATTATAAAGGCATTTTAATGCTTAAAGTTTGTACTTTTACAAGCTTTAAACAATTTTTTTTGACTTTTTATTTTAACACTTCTAAGTTTAAAAACATATTGTTTTATTCTAAAGATTGCGTTCAACACTCTGTAGCTCGATAAAAAATTGTTTTTGCAAAATTTAATGAATGTAAAAAACTACAACATTTTATCTATTAAACGCGTTTCTTTAAATTTTATTACAATTTTTTTAGCTGAGTTACACAACTTTGATGCTAAACCTATATTTTTTACGCTAATGCTACTGCCGATGGTAATGGTTATTTTTCCTTAATTGTAGGGTGCGTAAATATACGTCATTATCTCTTTTTTATCTCTATTGTATTTATTCTCTTGCAGTTATAATTACGTCGTTTTTATTAATAAATAATTTTTCTTCCAGTAGAATAATTCTTTTAATTTGCATAAATACATAATTGCATAATTTTCGTAAGTGCATAAGAACAATTTATTGTCAAAATTATATGATATTTATCTCAGTTATTATCGAGGTAAATGTTATCATACTTTATTATTTAATTGTAAAATATTGTTAATAATATAAGATAAAACTTCTACTTCTAAGTAAAAATATGACAATTAACATAAATATCTCTGTCTTTTTACTTGTTTTAATAATACAGAATATACATAATATTTGGCAATAATGTTACATTTTCATTCTTTTCAGCTACATAAAAAATATTTAGCAATCTTGATATCTTTTACTTAATATTTAAAAGATCTCAGATAACAATTCCGTGGCAGAAAAATTATCTTATTTGGATTATTTATTTGTGTATTCTATCGCTCGATATTGAGTGGTCAAAAATGGCAGTTCTGACAATGACTCGCAATATAATTCCTGCAAAGCTTCCTGGCGAATTTGTTGCGAGATACGTAGTCGGACGAGTGAATAAAGAAAGCAATATTTTATTATTATTTATTCACAAATACATTTAATTACTCATGTGAGAAGTGTTTAAAAGCAGCAAAGAAACCTGAACTTTTTTCAATATTATATTACAATTATATCTTGCAACACAGATCCAAACAAAGGAAGTAAAACTATGTTCGTGAGATTTCTACAAGAAGTATCTAAGAGTGTCCTAGTTTTCCGTAGCAAAATGTAATTTGTAATCGATGATTCGGAGATCATAACAAAGACGCTTCAAAGAGCACTGTTATTGATCATCAGTTCATTCTGCGACTTGAGTGTTTTAAAATATTCTTTTGCAGACCACATTTATTAGACCTGTCTTTATTTATCCTCAGACTTTAATACATATTAATTACATCACATATTTACATTATCTTTAATATTTATCAACTCGGAAGTTGAATGCAAGGACAGCTAATTGTTCAACTGCAGATCAGGAAACGCTATTTACCTTCTTTCGCATGGCAGTGCATTAATAATGCTCTCAGTATGCTACTACGCAATTCGAAGTCCACTGCACTGCAAGGACAAGCACAGATGTAATTTTATACCATAAGTTTTCAGAGATAATCGCTACTCTTTAGCATTCTATTAATAAACTTTCTATTATAAATTACTAAATTATTTAAATTTTTAATAATTGAAATTAAACTCTCTTTAATCGTAACATTTACATTGCAGTATTATAATATAGCAAACAAGTGCAAAAGTTATGAAGAAACGAGCTCGGCCGTGATTGCGTGATTAATTGGCTCCACGTTTGAGAAAACAGATAAGTCTCATACACATATAAAACTCACGTCAATGAAACAGATCGAACAGATTATCAATGTAACTTTTTATATTCAACGCTTTGAAATACAGGATATACTTGTTTCTCGTTTTCAATGTCTTCAAGTTTGCTTGCTTTTTTTCTGAAAATGGGAATTCTGAATTAGATAATGATACTTTATCTTAAACCGTGATCGATAAAAGGCTGTTTGGTCTAATTAACTTCATTCGCTAACTGCTATATTCAATAGCAACATATTAATTGCACCACAAATTATCGGAACAAGTTTCGCTTCTCCGCATTAGCATCATTTCGTTTTCTATTTCCCTTCCCCCCCCCCCCGCCCAATATAATTTTTTACCTCTATATTTTTTACATTAGGGTAATTAAGATCATTATTTTTGACGTAAATTGTTTTGTGGCTATTATATTTGACCTTAACTTTTTATGCCTTGTATTTTACATACCATTAATATAATATATGATAATATATTAATATAATAACTAAATAAAATATAAAAAATAATATAAAATATTATCAAATATAAAATATTATCCTTGACATAAACTTCTTTTGCTTTAATTTGCTTTAATCATTCGAGGAAACTAAATTATGCACACAGCCATATTATAAAAAGTCTGAAAAAAATTAAGTCTTATCGATTATATTTTTTTTACATAATTGCAGGTCTGTCATGATTATTAAGAAATCATAGAATAAAAACATGTTACTTTTTATGATACTTTTTATATTACAGTTACATAAGTACAAATAACATATTGATATTTCCTCGTCATTGTTGATGTAACATTGAGAAATATTGATAGAATGAGTATTCAGCAAAAATTACAGAAACGCAATTTTTTTATTAAAAAATAATTAGCCCGTCATTTATTTTTTCGCAATTTTTTAAAGCTGATATTACGATACATTTAAAATTTAACATTTTTTAAACAAAGTTATGTATTTACAGAAGTAATTTAAAATAAATGCAACATTTTAATTTTTAGAATACGTTTAAATTAATTTTTATTTACCACTGCACATATTACACATCCGCAAGAAAAGTGACACGAGTAAAAAATATCAAATTCTTCAGAAGAGAGGAAAGAAGGAATTGCGTCCATAATAATATTTCTTATTAATAATATTATGAACTGGTTTTTGTCTCAAATTCTGTCACAAATTATAAATCGTCTGAAGTAAGCTTGATTTTACGGTAAATAGTTTCATATGTCTATGCTTGGTTAAACAATAACTTCAAAATTAATTATTTGCGACAGTATTAAACATAGCGGACTCACGCGTAAAGTATTTGAATTCAACTTCTATCATTTTTCCTGATTGAAGACTGAAAAACGACGTGGAATTCTCAAAACTGATCTTAGAAATTTGGTATAAAAAATATGCGTTAATGACAATTTTGGGTAATCTGTACGTCCAATATCGATATAGTAGACGAAAAAACAGCAGAAAACGATTTTTAACAAATATAGCTAGAGGCGATTTAACGTGTGCTAACAAATAAGAATAAGAAAAGGCAGAAGTAATCTACTGTGAGTTGGCAAATTTTAATATATATAATTAGAGGCGATCTAATGTCAGCTGACAATTCATAATCAATATTGTCTGAGATAATTTATTTGTAAGCTAATAATTTGTGATATTGTCAGAAGCGATTTATCATAAACTAACAATTTAGAAAAAGAAAAGTCAGAAGCGATCACACGTGAGCTGACAATTTTTAATAAATATAGCCAGAGGCGATCCTAACATGTGCTGGCAAATTAGAATAAATATTGCTAAAGGTAATTTATCTGCGTGGGGAGAATTTGTAATAAATACTGTCAGAGGCAATCTATCGTGAGTTGACAATTTTTAATGAATAATGCCAGAGACAATGTGGACTGGCAATTTTTAAGAAATATGTATTTCTTTTTATGTATTTCTTTTTAGCAATCCACTACACATATAGTCTGTTTATGTTTTATCAGATAATTTATAAAGTTCGCACTCTTTTACTCGATTGAAATTTTATTGTATGGTTGTATGATATACATACGAGTCGAAATAGACTTATACAAGGTCTAATAGATATAAATTAAATATAATATATATAAAATATTTTTTTTGAGAAATGTATATTTAATACTATACATACATCTAATTGAGAAAATGTTATATGCTTTCCTTATTTTTATTTTTATGTAATAAATACGTATGTAATACCTTGTACGTATACATGGACGCCGATAATATCAATGTTATTTTTAGTTCCATTGAAATAATGGCGCTATTGCGTCGGAGTTCATCAGGCACTCTCCGCGATCTCCTTAAAATTGATTATGATGGAAGAAAAACCACTTGAAGTTAATAAAGTTAATAAAGTTTGAGTTACACAGTATATCAATTATTTTTTTCAATATTTTATTTTGAAATTTTTAAACGTGATACAATGTTTATTGATTTTCTGCAAAACAATTTATTATCAACTCTTCTGAGTTTTCCTCAGTTATGCACACGAATGAGTTAGCACAAAAAAGTTAGCATAAAATTAAATTATTAAGTAAAAAAAATCTGATCAAGTGATATAATAGACAGATAGAGGGATATAAAAAAGATATATGTATATATTAACAAGATACATGTAAGCTTGAGTTTGTCGTTTAAATCAGTCTTGATTCGATCAATTCGTCGATCAATTCAATCGTTTTTCTTTCAATCCTTTGTATACGTTTTACAAACATCTTTTTAGTGTGGACAATGTTTGTTAAAATTTTGATTTTTACATTTGTTACAACATATGTTACAGTAGTAATACATGTGAGTGATTGACACATACTCGTTACTATCATAATGTACATACCATAAAAAACGTTTACACATCTGATTGCAATTTAAAAAAATATATTAATAAAATTTAATTCATATAAATATATCACACTGAAAAATTTAATATTTTTTCTGAGTTAGTATTGACGTAGTGCTTTTGCTTAAAAATAAGTATATATTATATATTAAATTGACAGAATAAAAAGCTATTTTTCAACTTTCAAATCGGTATATAGTTTCGATTTTTAAGCTGTGTTAATTCTTATTGATACAACTCAAAAAAATATATTTAAAAAGGTGACAACGTATTATATATAAATGTAAATTCTGAAAATCTCTTAAAATATGTATATTTTGATTATTAAATTAAAACATTTTTGCAAGAATACCATTTTACACTTTCTCTATTAAAAAAAAAAATTATATTTAAAGTGTGATCAATTAACTGTTTCACAATTAAATGTTCTGCGTCGATTTATGAATTTGCAAGATACGTGCATTTTGATTATTAAGCTGCAATTTTTTTCACATAAGAATAATATTACAAATCTTTTTTCCGTAAAATAAAATAAAATTATATTTCAAAATTTGATTCATAAAATAAAATAAATATTTTATTTTTCTACGGAATACCACAAAATAAATATTTTTCTAAAATATTTGTTAAAATTGTTTCTAAAATATTTATTTTATTTTTCTACGGAATACCATTTTTTTGAATATCACTTTTGAATTTTTTGAGCTAATTGAGAAAATTATATTCTAAAAGCTTATAAAATTAAAAGATACAGTTTATGATAAACATGTGTATCGTAAATACGTGTCATAATAATAAAATAAATTGTTGTATGTGTTTGGTATAAGTTGAAAGATGGCCAATAATAATGTGCATTTTCGGCACATTATGCTTTTTTACTTCAAAAAATGCAACAATGCAAAAAATTGAAAAAAAAACTTTTTTTTTTAGTTTGCGTTGCATTCTTGCCTATTTTAAAGTAAAAAAGCATAATATGCCAAAAATGCACATTATTATTGGTCATCTTTCAACTTATATCAAACACTTACAACACAACTAATCTTCAAAATTTTTTTTTTTAATGCATATTGGAATGTCAGATGTCGAATGATATAAAGTTAAGACAATTGGAATAAAGTTAGTTGCATGTATTTATAATTAATGCTATCTTTTAGTAAAAAACGGAACGAACTTTCCGTTTAACTCAATACATTATTGATTTTTTTTTTTCAAATAAATGTGCATTATTTTATATTAATAATTGTAACATTAAGTATTAAGTTTGCTCATTACAATGTACCTTGCAATATTGAAGTAAAACCTATTAACATACTCCATGCCGAGCCGGAATATTTTTGCATAACTTTTCAGTCAGACCGCATACACCATCGATGACTCATGCTGGCGCATTAATTATACAAGCCTGCAACATTTCAACTTGTTTTTGCATTCTGGAAAAGAAAAGTCGTTTCCTACGTGATTTTGTACGCTGAATCCGAATCCGGCAACGAACTTGCTCACATCAGGTTTTTAAGAAAAGTGAAGTTAAACATTTCTAAAACGAACATGTGCTATCTGGGATATTATATATATCACACATTTACAACATTTAATAAAAAAAAAAAAATTGTTTACAAATCAAATATGTATGAAATAAATTCCGTTTTAAACATATTTTAATTATATTTAATTATACTGTCAATGTTAAATGAGTTGGTTGCTACGTTAAAAATAAGGATTATAATTAACTTATAACTCAAAATCAATTTACGCTTATTACAACATACACTTTGCGTTTATTACATCGAACGTGATGTAATCATTCATTTATGCGGAGTAAAATAGAAAAAGAACTTGATTATCCTCTAAGTTTACATATCATTACTGACGATTAATATATTCATCTTGTGTACTACTTAAATAAGTTGGTTATTCCGAACTAATGTCATGCCGTCGAAGCCTTCCAGTTCGTCTCTCGTCGCAGGGTCATCGAAACAGTTTTTAGTTGGTAAATAATCGGGAACCGTTATATCCGGTCTGATGATGCGAGGATCGATTGAATCCAACATTACCCCTCGCTACAGGACGGGGGAGAGCATCTTATAAAGATTTTTCCAACTCTAAAAAAAAAGTTGGTTGTAAAAAAAAGTATTTTTATAATAAACATTTTATGTTGATATTACATAGGTTTTAACATGAGAGAGAGAGAGAGAGAGAGAGAGAGAGAGAGAGTAATTATT